TACCCACAAAGGGGTAGCTCTCCTGAGAGGTGGTAGTTACATCAGTCCATAGTCCAGCTTGCTCTCTCTCCAATGTGCTCCAAAGACCCAGAGAGGTAACCTCTCCTTTTATTTATTTGTGAAAGAATGTGTCTCTCTCAGGAGCTCAGTGAATGGAGCTCAAGTGTGGTACCGTGATAGGTTGCCACCTGTGCAAAAAGTCCATCCGTGAAATTTCCTTGCTACTAAATATTCCACAGTCAACTGTTAGTGGTATTATAACAAAGTGGAAGCAACAGCACGATCCCAGCACACATGTCACGGAAAGGTCCCGATCTCCTCTTTCGATCGGGACCTTTCCCGATCATGTGACTGCCGTGACATCGCATCACGGCGGTCACATGACTCTAAACCCCACCCCGCCTCCCGGCGTCTGAAACTCTTAAAGACCAGGAGGAGGGGACATGAAGGGGTTAAGGAGTATTTGACTTTTTTTTTTTCCCCTGCATTTTAACTTGGCAGCGATAGAAGAGCTAGAGGAGTCAGAGGGGTACATTGTCTACTAACACAGACATACAAAGCCATTCATAATGCTGCCCCAAACTACCTCACCAACCTGATACCCAAATACCACCCTACCCGTAATCTTCACTCCTCACAAGACCTCATACTTTCTAGCTCCCTGGTCTCCTCCTCCCACGCCCAACTGCAGGACTTCTCCAGGACTTCCCCCATCCTCTGGAACTCACTACCCCAATCCATCAGACTGTCACCTACCCTCCTCACCTTTAGGCGCACCCTGAAAACCCATCTCTTCAGGGAAGCCTACCCCACCCTCACCTAACAGCCGATCTCCTCCATTCCTCCCACCACTCCATCCCCCACAGCCACTTCCTCCTGTACCACTATCCCCTCCTTCCTAGATCGTAAGCTCGAAAGAGCAGGGCCCTCGAACCCCTCGTGTATTGTTTTGTTACTGTATTGTCTCATGTACTGTCCCCCACTATAATGTACAGCGCTGAGCAAACCTTTTATATAATATATAAATACTGTATAATAATAATAATAATAAATTGTCATGATGAAGACGGTACAGAGTCTTATGTGTCGGGGCTGCTGTAGCTGTTGATGGGAAGCTCCTGTGTCAGCTTCGTGTCTCCCTGGAAGAATGGAAAGAGAGCACAAATGTGTCCTGTGAGGAAATGAAACACCTCCAGCCTGTAAAAAATATGGCCATGGGATGGAGGATAAGAGGACAGTGTACAGAGCAGATGTAGTGATGACTGAAAGTAAAGGAGGACCAGAGGACCAAGCTTTTGTAGAGGAGGTTAGTTGTCAGTGGGACATTACACCAGCCTGGCAAGTCGCCACACAGTCTCTGTGTAAGGGAGGAATTACTGATGTAAGGGCGAATTAATACACTGATGTAAAAGTTCCCCCTTATATCAATAACCCCTCTTACCGTTGTGTATTCACCCTGCAGAAGGTGGTCTCTGCCTCTGGTCACCAGAGTCCCGACTGACTCCTCAGATTTCTCTTTTATATCAGAGTTTGCAGATTTTCCACTTACTGAGCAAGGGGGAACTCTGTGGACCCTGATGTAAAGGGGCACTATGATGTAAAGGAGAACTTTCGGACTGTGATGTAAAGGGGAACACTGTGGACTCTGACGTAAGGGAGAACTTTGTGAACTGTGGTGTAAAGGGAAACTGTAGAGTCTATAATAAGGGGGAATTCTGTGGACAGTGATGAAAAGGGCAGCTCTATGGACTCTTCTGTAAGGAGGGGTTCTAGTGACCGAGACCCTCTTACATCAGAGTTTCCCTTTACACCAGAGTCTGCAGCATTTCCCCTTACATCAGACTCCACATATTTCTCCATTACATCAAAATCCACAGTGTTCCCTTTTACATCAGGGTCTGCAGAGTTCCCCCTTGCACTGTAATGGGGGACCTTGCAGACTCTGATGTAAGGCACCTACCTGTATTACAAAATAATGGAAAATATTCACAGGTTCTTTCTGATGGTGCGACAGGCACCCACATTCGGTAGTTACATTTCACCTAACTATTTTTCATCATCTTCAAGTACAGCCACCAATTTATATTAAGGGTAACTTAAGCATGGTGATGGGAAATGCCTCTGTTGTTGACCTGTTATGAAGGGCAACAGTTTTCTTTCTACTGTAAATGAAAGAGAGTTTAAAGTGGTTCATTCAATGCTGTGCACAGCCATCCAGAGCAGTGTGCTTGAGCTGACAGGGAGGAGGACTGTAAATAAAACAGTCCTCCTCTCCGTCGGAGATCCTCAGAAATCATTGGGCACCGGCGAGTAATTGACAGCCATGGCTGCAAATGATTGGCCGTGGCCAGTGATTGACAGCTGTGGCTGCGAATGGCCGCGCGGGTAGGGCTTTTACACGCCCCTACCCAGAAATGCAAAATCACGTATGTGTCCGTGATTTTGAGCACCGCTACTGCCCTGTAGCAGTATTTCTGCTATAGGGTGGATGGCAAGTGGTTTCACCCATGTCAGTGGTAAATAGATTGTCTCATCCTTTTAAACTGATACATTCTGCTGGAGAGCTTGTGCTTCAGAAAAACAACAGACCTGCTGGCTCAATCACCAGATGAAAACAGAACGCCTAAAAAGGAAACTAATACAGCCATCACATCTAAGAATTGTTAAGCTGCAATATAATGAATGTTTGGTTTTGGGTTTAATACTACTTTTAAGTTTTGGTATATTTACAGGCAGTGTCTGTGGGTAGCAGTGTGCTTTATATATGCATCGAATGTTTTTTTTTTTTGAATGTTTGTCCAATAATGTACCATTATGTGGCACTCTCTCATTATTTATTTGTATTTTGAGAGGAGTGTTTTGCTGCCTTGTGTTGCTTGAATCTTTGTTTCTATTTGTGTTTCTAATTCTTTTTTCTATATTTGTTTCCATTTATCCTAATTGGATCTCCACTGGAATGTAATCCTTTTATTCCTATTTTTCGATATACACTAAAGGAGCTGGACTGTACTTTGTTGATTAGTTCGTCCTACAATGCACATACTGTATTTATGAGATGACAAACAAAGGCAAATGTACAATTTTCAAAGTTATGTATGGTTATGACATGCTTTTTGGTTTGTAGGAAGGAGGGGAACAGGACCGAACTGGTCCAATTTACCTTCGTAAAGTGAAAATGTTTAATAAAAAAAGTACCCAAATTTTAAATTTTTTTTAAATTTATCAGCTTCTAAAATGAAAACAACTGAGAATGATTCTGTAGGTGCTATTGTGTGACAGCAGCACAATACAACTGCCCTTATTTCTAAATATCCGCATACATTCATGATTTTCCATTGATCTCTATGAGTACAATCCTGTCATTGTGTGCGTCATTATGCTGCTAAATTGTTGAGAAGAAGTCAAGCCATTATTTTTATTGTGTGCAGTCTGGTATTAGAATTGTCATGTACATTAATACAGTCTGTACAATATTTAATAACAATTGCCCTGGGGGAAATGTATGGGAGTACAGATATGTCAGTATGAAATGGAAATGTTTTGTTTCCTCTTCTAGTGCTTTCAGTGTTATAACCTCTCTGAGTGATAGCAAAATATTACTCATTACACAGGAATGTATTGAGCAAAATTAGATGCACATTTATAGTATAGGAAAGCAGGTGTATTTGCAACCCTTGGGCCTGCATCTTGTGTAGGCAACTGGGATAGTTTTGCATAGGTTGGCGACAGAAGTTACCACTATGGATGAAATGAAATGGATTTTCACTCAAGTACACACCATTAAAACAAGGTTTTATAGTGTTACTGGTCAGTGGGAAGAAGAACGTTGTGAGGTTCCAGTGCTCAGCATGGGTCTGTAGTCCTCTATGTGGTCACTCCTCATTTGTGGTGTTGCCAGTTATGTCTTTTTAATTTTAGAGACATTTTTTGTAAGTAAAACATATCCCTTATGATATTAAACCCTCAATTTTAGGCACTTTCAGCAGCTGATTTACTATGCAACTCCTGAGAGAGCAAATATATATATATATATATATATATATATATATATATGATACAGTAAATTGCCAAAAGTGTTGGGACGCCTGCTTTTACACGCACATGAACTTTAATGGCATCCCAGTCTTAGTCCATAGGGTTTAATATTGAGTTGGCCCACCCTTTGCAGCTATAACAGCTTCAACTCTTCTGGGAAGGCCATCCACAAGGTTTAGGAGGGTGTCTATGGGAATGTTTGACCATTCTTCCAGAAGTGCATTTGTGAGGTCAGGTACTGATATCAGACGAGAAGGCCTGGATCGCAGTCTCCACTCTAATTCATCCCAAACCTGTTCTATCGGGTTGAGTTCAGGACTCAAACTTGAATGTGCAGGCCAGTCACGTTCCTCCACCCCAAACTTGCTCATCCATGTCTTCATGGACCTTGCTTTGTTCACTGGTGCGCAGTTATGTTGGAACAGGAAGGGGCCATCCCCACACTGTTCCCACAAAGTTGGGAGCAAGATATTGTCCAAAATGTCTTGGCATGCTGATGCCTTAAGAGTTCCCTTCACTGGAACTAAGGGGCCAAGCCCAACCCCTGGAAAACAACCCCACACCATAATCCCCCCTCCACCAAACTTTACACTTGGCATAATGCAGTCAGGCAAGTACCGTTCTCCTGACAAACGCCAAACCTAGACACGTCCATTGGATTGCCAGACAGAGAAGCGTGATTCGTCACTCCAGAGAATATGTCTCCACTACTCTAGAGTCCAGTGGCGGCATGCTTTGCACCACTGCATCCACTTTGCATTGCACTTGGTGATGTAAGGCTCAGATGCAGCTGCTCAGCCATGGAAACCCATTCCATGAAGCTCTCTATGCACTGTTGTGCTAATCTTGTGCTAATCGGAAGGCTCGCACGTAGTTTGGAGGTCTTTAGCTATTGACTTTGCAAACAGTTGGTGACTTCTGCGCACTGTGCGTTTCAGCATGCGCTGAACCTGCTGTCATTTTATGTGGCCTACTACTTCGTGGCTGAGTTGCTATTGTTCCCAGTTCCTTACACTTCGTTATAATACCACTTACAGTTGCACATGGAATATTTAGTAGCAAGGAAATTTCACTGATGGGCTGATTGCACAGGTAGCCACCACACTTGAATTCACTGAGCTCCTGAGAGCGACCCATTCTTTCACAAATGTTTGTAGGAGCAGTCTGCATGCCTAGGTGCTTGATTTTTTTTTCACGTGTGGCCATGGAGGTGATTGAAACACCAGAATCCAATGATTTGGAGGGGTGTGTCCCAATACTTTTGGCAATATAGTGTATGTATATATATATATATATATATATATATATATATATATATATAAGTACACTTGCTAATCCTCTCTTCTTTTAGGCTTTGCTTGACCTAATAAATTATTTTAAATACCTCAGGTGTGTCGGTAAGTGCTGGTTGAGTTAGGTGTGTGCAGAGAAATCACAAATGTTCTTATTTTGTTCACAATTCAAATAAGGGGACGTGGGCACTAAAACAACATGAATTTGTATGCCATATATTATAAACCATGTAGTCAGGAAGGTAACTCTAATGTGTGTACAATTACTTCTGTGGTGTCCATCAGTGGATCCATCCTTGAGAATTCTCATCTCTTTCTGATGTCCATCCATTGCCTGCACCTGGTCCCAGCACTAAGCTCTGCATCTTAAAGGCTTAGTTCACCTTTTCATAAAAACTTAAAAAGGTGAACTAACTCACAATGCCTTCCCCAATTTATCTAGACTCTAGAGAGATAAAGTGTAGAAAGAGAGAGAGAGATAGTTATGTGGAAGGACATATGACTTGGCAGATGAAGATAGATGCACAGGCAGATAAATAGACATGTAGCACTGCCCCTTGGGACAAGCTGGAATATATTATGGGTCCTGCGCTCAATAGATCCAACCCTAAGCAAACCCAATCCCTCTGGCACAACTGGTAAATGAATAGCAAATACCCCGCCAAGAAATTTGCTGACACAGGGTTAAATAAAACAAGAACAATTTTATGGAGAATGAAATGCAGTGTAGAGGGGTGGGGTTCCCCTTTCAACTTCAAAACTTACTTTTCTTCTCTTATGCAATGCAGTAAATTTGGTCTGCCACTAGAGGGCTTCACAGCCAAGAGTCTCCGGATGGCAGAGTTGCACTTTAAGCAGAATACAACTGATATCAAACAAATAAACTTACTTATACTCTATCAATGAAATGTATTACCCACACCGGTGTATGATTCTGCTTCTGAGGGGCGTTAGCCAAAAATCACCTCAGAGTCAGAACAGGATGCAATAAAGAGGTACCTCTAATAAAGCTACTAAGCCAGATTCCCCCACTTCAGTCCTTGTAACGGTGGAGCTCTAGTTGGTGCACGTTTAGTCCTTACAATGAAGTAAATAGCAGCTGAAGGCTTCTTTGGAGTTTCAGCTGGTGTGGGTTACATCAGATTTCACTAGGTTTCTGGGCTGAGAGGGTCCAACCTCAGTGTCTAAACGCAACACAAAGCACCCCAAGACCAGGGGCAGTCGCAGGATGCAATCTCCCAGTATGTGTCAGTCCCCAGGGCAGACAGTCTCAATTACACTGGTGGTGAGGGGCAAAGCAGGCAGGGGGATCTGTGGCTTGCACAGGGCCCCGGATGGGTGAGATCCCAGCAGTGGGGTGCGGATGTCCCAGTCTATATGCAAAGTGTAAATGATGTGTCTTACTTTCTCCAGGGGGACAGCTCACCAGACTCTGAACACACAGCAGGGTCCCTCTATCCACGCTGAGTGCTGTAGTGCCTCCTCCTCTGCTTGGACAGGCTCCACATGTCCCTGTCTTTTCTCCAGCCTCGTGTCTCTCTGTTCTCCCCTTCACTTCCTGCTTCCTCCCCCTCCCAGCGTTCTTTGAGGTGTAGTGGATAAGTCATGAACTTGGCAGAATGCACAGGTTTTACAAATAGGAGAGAGAGAGAAAGGACTGACTGCTGAACATGTGATTCCTTCTGAATCCTCTTGTACAAGGAGTCTGCTACACACACTCCCCCCACCAGAGAAGCTTTGGTCCTCCAAAGACAGCAGTAAAAGCAACCTGTTACATGCTTTTTATATACACGCGGAGAAAAAGCAAAGTTAGTACACACAGGAAATTAAATTATTCACACTTGCATAAGAATCTGGCAGAGGAACCTCCCACCATGTAGCAGAGTGAGGGTTGTCCTGCCCATAGGCCACAATAATGGGAATGGCCCAACCAGATGTGCCAGGGGGTGAGTTGGGCTGTTCTCTACCGAAACTGCTGTAGGAGAACCAGGCGTCACGAGATTCCTTTGAGAAGCATGTACTACTTCCTCAGCGTTTTCACCCAACACATCATATGTCAGTCTCTTTGGGGGTTGAATGACTCTACGCTCTCTCTGTTCTCTGGGCTCTAGCAATGGTTCTGGCGTTGCTTCCGATGTTGGTTCTGACACTACTGACTCATCAACCCTCGCTTCTTGCTCGATGCTCTCTGTCTCTGCCAGTTCAGCTTCCTCCACATCTTCTCCCTCATCAACAATGGACCACCAGTCTTCAGGTTCTTGCAAGTCTTCTGCAGGTTGGGCCTGAGGCACAAATTCAGGAGCCTCTGGCCTAAGAGGAACTACGTCAGTCACTCCAGTGGAAGAAGGAATGGTGGGTTCGGAAATGTCAGATGGCCACAGCAAATCTGTCCCTACCTCCTCACTCTCACTGTCCTCTTCATCTGCAGGAGGTGGTGTGGGTTGTGACCTGGTCACAGGTCTAGTCCTCTGAGAAGTTGAGGGGGTAGACTGTGGATCAGATTGTGATGGTAGACGGACTGCATCTGACAAAGGCAAAAGGTGGTTGCGGTGCCAGGTTTTGAGTGGGCCAACACCCTTTTCCGGTCGAATCTGGTAAACTGGCAATCCAGGCAATTGTTTGCAGATGACATAGGGCTCTGATCGCCACCTATCCGCCAACTTGTGTTTTCCAGGGATACCCAGATTTCTCAGTAAGACTCTGTCTCCAGATTGTAAGTCCTGTACTCGCACTCTGAGATCAAAGTTCTCTTTGTTTCTCTGTCCCCTGGCGTCTGAGGTGGCTTGAGCCTTCTCATAAGCAATCTTCAGGCTTTTCCTTAGGCGGTCCACATATCCTCTATGGGAAGCTGCAGAGGTATGGTCTACAGAGGTTCCAAAAGCCAAGTCTACTGGCAGTCGGGCTTCCCGGCCGAACATCAGCCGGTGAGGAGAGTATCCTGTAGCATCGTTGGCAGTGCTATTGTAGGCATGTACGATGGCTGCTACATGCTTACTCCAGTGTTGCTTTTGCACTGAAGTCAAAGTCCCGAGCATATTCAGGAGGGTACGATTGAATCTCTCTGGCCGAGGATCTCCCTGAGGATGGTATGGAGTAGTCCTCGACTTTTGGATGCCTAGTAGACTCAAGAGTCTCTTGATGAGATTGCTCTCGAAATCTCTTCCTTGGTCTGAGTGGATACGTTGTGGTAGTCCGTAATGCACAAAGAACCTTTCTACTAAAATCTTTGCCACAGTTGATGCTAACTGATCTCTAGCAGGAAAAGCCTGGGCATACCTGGTAAAATGGTCAGTCACTACCAGGATATTTCCCTGTCCACTCTGATCCGACTCCAGGCACAGGAAGTCAATGCACACCAACTCCATGGGTCCCTGACTTTGAAGGTGGCCCATTGGGGCAGCTCGTTGAGGCAGAGTCTTCCTCTGAATACATCGGATGCAGGAGTGACAGTAACTTTCAACTTCTGTCCGCATGCAGGGCCAGTAGAAGCAGTCTCTTACCAAACAAAAGGTTCTTTCTGGTCCCAGATGGCCATGGTCATGATGGAGAGCGGCCAGCACTGTTTCTCTGTGGGCAAAAATAGCTGCCATTTCTCTTCAGGATCAGCAGAGGGGCCCCTTCGGTAGACCACTCCGTGGCGTAACTGTAGCCGATCCCACTCACGATGTAGCCGCCGGGCCTCCCTTGACGATGTAAGAAGCAAATCAGGGCTTTTGCTTTCTAAAGCCTTCAATACTAGGCCGCAGAGGGGGTCTTCCAACTGATCTCTTCGCAGATCCTTCCTGGAAAGCTTGGGCAGGCCTTCACCCCCAACCTGGGTGACATTGCAATAACACCTGGGAACGCCAGATGCCGAAATCCCAATGTCTTCTGCCCTGGACCCACCTCTTGTTCGGTGTTCCACTCCTTGACATAAGGCTCGTACCCCTTCAGAGGGCACCTGAGTCCACTCTTCTGGGGAATCCTTGGAACAGTGAGGTCTTCGGGATAAGGCATCTGCATCCCTATTCCCAATCCCTGGCCGATAACTGAGGCTGAAAGTGAACTCCGATAAGGCAGCTAACCACCTGTGGCCAGTAGCATCCAGCTTAGCTGTAGTGAGAATGTATGTGAGGGGGTTATTATCTGTTTTTATCACGAATTCTGCTCCATATAGGTAATCTCGAAGCTTGTCCACTACTGCCCACTTCAAGGCCAAGAATTCAAGCTTGTGGGTGGGGTAGTTCTTCTCAGCGGACGCCAAACCCCGGCTCACATAGGCGACAGGTCGCAAGCATCCATTCTGTTCTTGATAGAGGACTCCCCCTAACCCATCTCTACTTGCATCCACATGAAATTCGTACGGCTTGGCTGGGTCTGCATAGGCCAGGATTGGAGCGGTGGTTAGACTCTTTTTCAGCCGTTCAAAGGCCTCTTTACACTGGGTTGTCCATTGTCCTTGAATAGATTCCCTAGGCCTCCTGGGTCCCACTGCTGGCTTCGCAGGTCTAGAAAGATCTGCATCATCATTGTCTTCTTCATTTCTGAGCAGTTCATTGAGTGGGCGGGCTATCCGAGCAAAGCCCTGGACGAATCTGCGATAATAGGAGCAAAAGCCCAGGAAGGATCTGAGCTCTGTGACATTTGTGGGCCTCGGCCATGAGGTGACAGCTTCCAGCTTCTTGGGGTCAGTGGCCACTCCATCGGCAGATACGATATGACCCAGGTAATTGACCGAGGGTTGGTAAAACTGGCACTTCTCCAAAGACAACTTCAGTCCCTCATCATGAAGTCTCTTGAGCTCCTTCTCCAATCTCTCCTCATGTTCCTCCAGAGTCTTCCCAAACACAATGATGTCGTCCAAGTATACCAGTACTTCAATTAAATTCATGTCACCCACCGTCTTCTCCATCAGCCTTTGAAAGGTGGCTGGAGAGTTGCACAAACCTTGAGGCATCCAGTCAAATTCAAAGAA